CATCATAACATTTCTGTTATAGTTATAGATATTAGATTTGGTCCCCCCCACCCCATGGCCCCCCTGAAAAAATTTTCTGCAGGCGCTACTGTGCATCAGAACCAGAACCAGTTCTTGTGGAGTCTAACCCGTCCCTCTGTCTGTGCAGAACCCGCAGGTCCAGCCGCTGCAGTGCCAGGCCCTGCAGGACGTCAGCAGGTTCTGTGAGGAGATCCGCTGCAGGAACCAGTGGGTCCCCTGCCTGAAGCTGCAGGACCGCTGAGCCCAGCCCAGCCGAGCCGAACCGAACCGCCGGGGGGAGCGGTGGATGGAGCCGGATAACTGAGCGCCAAACGGCCCAGTCCTCGTGACGGAGAGAGGAGCCCGACCGAACCACGTGCACGGGTTGCCAGATCCGGTTGACGGGATGCGGGTCCTGGTTCTGTGGCTCTGGGAGCCGGACCGGACCGAGCTGTGGCTGCAGAGCTGACGATGATGATGATGATGATGATGATGATGATGATGATAATGAGGGAACTGAGGGAACTGCACGTGAAGCTCCGGACTGAGCTGATGTGTTCCCTGCTCACCTGTGTGCACACACAGACACACACACACACACACAGACACACACACACAGACACACACACACACACACACACACACACACACACACACAGACTGGACCTGTCTGTGTCTCGATGACATCATGTTCGGACCTGTCTGTGTCTCGATGACATCATGTTCGGACCTGTCTGTGTCTCGATGACATCATGTTCGGACCTGTCTGTGTCTCGATGACATCATGTTCGGACCTGTCTGTGTCTCGATGACATCATGTTCGGACCTGTCTGTGTCTCGATGACATCATGTTCGGACCTGTCTGTGTCTCGATGACATCATGTTCGGACCTGTCTGTGTCTCGATGACGTCATGTCTTGTTTTTAATGAGACAAATGATCTGAGAGGAAAATGAATCATGTTCAGCTTTTATCTGAATAAATGTTTGAAAGAGAAATCACAGACTGGAGTGTTTCCTGTGCCTGCATGTGACCCTGTGTGCATTTAAAACGGATAATTTAAAAATACATTTTGTATAAATTAAGCTCCTTGTAAAGTGTAAAGAATCAGATCAGCTTGGATTAAACAGCTGGAAAAAAAAGTCAAGAAGCTGAATAATCAATTTTTACATTTAAAACCATCCAAAATCAGCATTTATCTCCACATTTCAAGAAAAGTTGCAACAAGAAGTTAAGTTTCATGTTGAATTAGCTCTAAGAAAACAAACCTGCAGGTAAATCCCACCTGAGAGGCTGAACTCTGCACATTTTTAACCCTTAAATAAAACCGTACACAAGTCCTGAAGCTGCTTCACATTTCTGTTGACAGGAAGTGACCTCATCACGTGATGAGCAAAACTTTTTTAAAATTTCAAATCCTTTATTTCAAATTTGACAGATGTACAAAAATATAGAAAATAAAGAAACTTACAAAAATACKTAAGCAACAAATATGTAACATGATTATAAACAAAATATCACAAAGGGTCAAAGTGTCATGAGATATTAAATTTTTTAAAAATTGTTCTTGTTTTTCCAAGTTTCTGATTATTTAAAGTGAGTTTTTCAACAGAGGCAGAGTTTATTTTTAAATCAGACTCTTTAAATTTATTCCATGAGGGACATTTACAAAACTACAATAAGATTAATTAAATATTTCTTCTGTTGAAAAGTTTGAATTGCTGAAAATGAGCAAAATTTGCAGTTTTGATAAAACAATGTTTTTCTAAGTTTTGCCGTAAGGAAACTTTGCAGATCTAACCAAAATAATCCAACATGAGAACAAAACACAAACAAATGTTTAATCCGTTCACCTTCATTTAAACAACGAGCAGGTTTTACTGAAACCAGGACAGAAACAACAAATATGATCTTTAACTGGATAAAACCTGGGTACAGTCAACGTGATGAGCAAACGTCAAAGGGCCTCTGAGGAGAAATTCCATCCAGGTGCATCATGGGAAATGTAGTCAGCTGAGGGAAACCCAGGTTTCAGCCGTCATCTGTGCAYGTTTGAGCCTCTCAGTCTGTAAAACACCAACAGTTAAGACTGCTGAGAGATTTAAAGCCTGTTTGGAGGAATTTCTGCACCTTAAACACGTTTCTGTCAAACTACAAGAAAATTATAGAACATTTTTATAGTTTAAGAAAAGATGGCTGCACTTTAAACACGTTTCTGTCAAACTACAAGAAAATTACAGAACATATTTATAGTTTAAGAAAAGATGGCTGCACTTTAAAAACACCTTTTCCTCATTTTATCTCCTCCAGATTTAGATGAAACGGTTTCATCTTTAAAAATAAATGAACAGTCTTGGAGAAGTTATGTAAGTAAAGTAAACTGTATAATCTCCTGATAAACAAATAAAGAAATAAAAATAAACAAACAGATCCACTGACAGTCAGTTGATTTAACTCATAAAATCCCCGTTAGTAAAAGTGAAAGTTGAGAGCATCGTTTCTCAGTTTCCCCTCCTGAGCAGCACATGAGAAACCACACTGTTTACCCAGCAGAACCAGAACCAGAACCAGAAGGCAAAGTTAGAATCAGGACCCAGTGAAGAATCAAAATAACTCAAATAAACACACAAAAAGAAAACTCTTCATAGTTAATGAGGGTTCTTGTTAAACGGTTCAGTAGCTGAAGTTTCTGGGACTTTTATTTTGTGGGTCAGCAGAAAAACATTTCACAATAAAAGTTCTGAAATGTTTACATTTCTTATGATGTTTAAACAGGTGATTAAAAAAGAAAAAGATGCAAAAACAAGTCTTATAAACGAAGACCCTTCAACCCTGCTGCTGCCCTGGGGTCAAACAGAAGGACCGGACCCTCAGGCTGAGGCACATTTTGACCCGAGGGCAGCAGCAGGGCTGAGCACTGGTCAGTTTCAGGACGGATCTTTCTGGATGAAAACACTCGGAGGAAGGACGGTTCATCGGCGAAGTGGACGTCGTCTCAGTTTCCATGGCGACGCCTGGGCTGCGAGCTCGTCTCCGTCCTGCCGGAGCTGGACCGGTCCGATGTCTTCAGAGACGAAACCCGTCCCGTTCAGGACCGGTTCAGACTGTGAGACTAAAAACAAAGAGGACGACCCRTCGGGTCACAGATCTGACGACAGGAAGCCTCAGTTTGACTTTATAAAACTAAAAAACTAACATTTACAAGTTTAGCCTTTAGCTTTAGCTTTAGTTAGCCTCTCTGTTAGCTTTCAAACCAAATAAGGAGATTAGCAGATTTTGTTCTTGTGAGTTTTTTTAATGGTTGGTGTTTCAGCTGTAAGTTCAACAGAAAGAGAGAAAAACAAGTTTTTCCAGATGTTCCAGCAGTTTTCTGGTCCTGGTCTCGTCCTGAGGTGGGGGGGGGGG